AAGGAGTTGTGCACCCACAAGAGGAAGCTGAAGGGCAATAAGCGAATTAGCATGAGCATAAATGTCTTAGCACTTATAGGTAAAGTTGTTCCACTCATTCCTGAAAAATGTAAGGACTTAGGTACATTCTGTATACCTTGCATTATTGGTAACAATAAATTTGAAAATTCCATGCTTTATTTAGGAGCTTCAATTAATGTCATGCCTTTGTCTATCTCTAATTCTCTATCTCTTGGACCTTTCTAACCTACGGGTGTGGTCATTCAGTTGGCCAATAGGAGTGTTGCCCACCCCACAGGTTTTGTAAAAGATGTCTTGGTTCGAGTTGGTGAACTTATTTTCCCTGCATAATTCTATGTTCTTGATATGGAGGAGGGATTCTCCAATGGTTATGCCCCAAGCATTTTAGGTAGACCATTTTTGAAAATAGCCTGAACCAAGATTGATGTATATGTTGGTACCTTGTCCATGGAAATTGGTGATATTATTGTTCATTTTAATATTTTGGATGCCATGAAATTTCCTTCTGAAGCTCATTTTATCTTTCGTGCTGAATTGATTGATGATCTAGTTGATGAGCACATTCATGATTTTAATTCTTTTCATTATAAGAAACATTCTTTTTTATCTGAATTGTATAACTTCCTTTCATGCATTGAATCTAAATCTGAATTTGGAAGTGATCTTGATTGTGACGATGCATCTGAATTTGATACTTTGGGTGTTGTACCTCTAGGTCTTGATATTATAGAGTTAGAATGCATTAACCATGTTGTAGAAAGTACAAAAGAATCTGACTTGCAGGTTGAGGTACAGGTTGCGGAACCCTTTCTCCCTTCTTTGGTTCCTTCTGATGTTCAGCCAGCACCCACACCAGAGTTGAAGCCTCTTTCAGAGAACCTCAAGTATGCTTACATGGAGGATGATGAGAGATTTCTTGTGATCATATGCACCTCCCTTGATGCTGATCAAGAGGATAAGTTGTTGCATGTGCTTCAGAAGAACAAGAAAGCAATTGGTTGGACCCTGGCAGACATTCCTGGCATTAGCCCATCCACGTGTATGCATAAGATACTATTGGAGGATGAAGCTAAACCGGTGAGACAGCCTTAGAGGAGAACCCGATCATTTTGGACGTTGTAAAGAAAGAGGTGACAAAGCTTCTACAGGCTGGGATCATATATCCTATTTCAGGCAGTCAGTGGGTGAGTCCAGTCCAGGTGGTCCTCAAGAAGACAGGCCTTACTATTGTTAAGAATGAGAGGGATGAGCTCATACCAACTAGAGTGCAAAATAGTTAGAGAGTCTGTATTGACTACCAGAGGCTCAACCAAGCAACATGGAAGGATCATTTTCCTCTACCCTTCATTGATCAGATGCTTGGGCGTCTAGCAGGTAAATCTCATTACTATTTTCTTGATAGTTTCTCTGGTTATTTTTATATTCATATTGCTCCTAAGGATCAAGAAAATACCACATTCACCTACCCTTTTGGTACTTTTGCCTACAGGAGGATGCCTTTTGGCCTACGCAATGCGCCTGGCACATTCCAGCGGTGCATGCTCAGTATTTTTAGTAATTTTCTTGAAAATTGCATAGAGGTGTTTATGGATGATTAGACTGTTTATGGATCCTCTTTTGATGCATGTTTGGATAGTTTGGATCGAGTTCTGAATAGATGTATTGAGACTAAACTTGTTCTTAATTTTGAGAAATGTCATTTCATGGTTGAGCAAGGTATAGTCCTAGGGCATATCATTTCTAGTAAGAGCATTGAGGTAAACCCTGCAAAGATATATGTTATTGCACAATTGCCTTACCCTTCTTGCGTGCGAGAGGTGCGATCTTTTCTTGTCCATGCAGGTTTCTACAGGTGCTTCATTAAGGACTTTAGCAAGAAAGCCCTTCCAGTATCTAGCTTGTTGCAAAAGGATATTGATTTTAATTTTGATGACAGATGCATGGAGGCGTTTGATTGCCTCAAGAGAGTCTTGACTACCACTCTTATCATTAAGGCACCAGACTCGACAGTTCCCTTTGAGCTAATGTGCGATGCTTCAAATTATGCACTAGGGGCTGTCTTAGCACAGAGGGTTGACAGATTGCCTAGGGTGATATACTATGCTTCCAAGACATTAGATGTTGCTCAAGCAAATTACACAACCATGGAAAATGAACTTTTAGCAATTGTTTTTGCACTTGATAAATTTCGATCATATTTGCTTGGTTCTCATGTCATTATTTTTATAGATCATGCAGCTCTAAAGTACTTGTTGAAGAAGGTTGATTCAAAGCCTACGTTGATTAGATGGATGCTCTGGCTTCAAGAGTTTGACTTGGACATCTGTGACAGGAGTAGAGCACAAAACTTAGTGGTAGACCATATCAGTAGGATTGAGAGAGCTGAGGAAGAGGACACTTTGGCCATTCAAGATGATTTTCCTAATGAAAATTTGTTAATTGTTTCTATTCCTTCCCCTACCCCTTGGTTTGCAAACATTGTAAATTATTTAGTTGCTTGTATTTTCCCTCCTTTGGCATCTAGAGATCAAATTGATAAACTTAAGAGCGATGCTAAACACTATGTTTGGGATGACCCCTATTTGTGGAATTTGTGCAGTGATCAGGTAATCAGGAGATGCTTGCTAGACTACGAGATTGATTCGGTCCTGCAATTTTGTCATTCTTCTGCACTTGGTGGTTATCTTGGCATTTAAAGGACACCTCATAAGGTGCTTGGTTGTGGTTTCTACTGGCCCACCATCTTCAAGGATGCATGGAAGATTTGTAGCACCTATGAGCAGTGTCAAAGAGCAAGAGAATCCCTTTCTTGGAGATAGTAGATGCCTCAGTAACCCAAGTTATTTTGTGAGGTCTTTGATGTCTAGGGTATAGATTTCATGGGCCATTTTCCTGTTTCTTTTATTTTTTCATATATTCTTTTGGCTATTGATTATGTTTCAAAATAGGTGGAAGCCAAAGCCACCATAACTATTAATGCTCGGGTTGTTGTGGATTTTGTCAGATTTAACATATTTTACAGGTTTGGAGTACCTAGAGCTATTGTTAGTGATTAGGGCACCCATTTTTGTAACAGATCCATGCAGGCCTTGCTCAGGAAGTATGGGGTTGTTCATAGAATTTCTACACTCTACCACCCCCAAACTAATGGGCAAGCCGAGATTTCAAAT